CAGAGCAGATGTCAATCAGGACAAGCAACCAGACTTAACTTTTAAATAAGAGGGATACGATTACAAAGTGGATCGCTAGGGAATGATATGAACGTGTTAAACATCCCTCAAAATGTTTGTACAATTCTATGTGAGAAAATCCGGCATATCTATGACATACTCACCTCGACTAAGATGGGATGACGCCACCGGGGACCCGATCAAAGCAGCCGCCACTGAATAATCTGCGCCTTGTCCGGATTGGTCAAATCGTAGTGGGGTGACTGCATCCTACAGGTGGAGTGATATGATACGAGTGAGAAAATGTTANAACCTTTGCGAGACCAAAAAACTGAACATTGAGAGTGAGTGGATGCATCCAAAAAGTGACATCCTAATAACAGTTATTGATTTTCTGAGGAAAGCAAACCAACTAGATGAGGTGAACACCACGGTTATTTTGAAATATTTATTATAATAAATAGTATATGAATGATTGGATAAAATTTCCCTGGAAGCACACGGCCGGTTTCGTGGTTCTTGTCGCTCGTCAGGCATGCGTATCTGGTAATCTTTTGTCTTTTCGTTCATATACTTGTACGTTGGAAGTATATTTTCGCTTTTTAAGTGTAACTAGCATAACACAATAAAAAAACACAAATATCCCTATTGAATAACTTCTCTATTTTTGATTTTGAACCAATCAAATTAGCAATACACTACTGAAATGAACTTCACTACAGTTTCCCAAATACGGCTTTTCATGTGACCGTAGATATCGTGTTTAAGCAATTTTTATCCTCCATAATACTCAATATTTCGCCTGGACGTTGAAATCGGAGCTGTTTAAGGATATTTGTAAAACAAGGTTTGGTTCAGGCTGCTTCGCCTCACCGTTGGGCGCGTCCTAAATTAACCCCCCTCATCCTTGACGTGATGGGTGACAGGGACTGTTCTCATCCAGCGCGACGCATTCTGATTACAGATAGTTGGAAAGAGAACTATTTAGTAGGGAAGTAACACTTTCCGATCGCTATTTTAACACAGACGAGAGATCGGTTCTTCGATAAACTGTATTTTGTTCCAAATTAGATTGCCGATTATGAAGAATGGCTTAACAATGTTCCCCAAAATGATAGGATTCGGGTTAGTATAAAAGAAAGATTCATTTGCGAGACCAGTTGACCGCTGACCAAGAATAGTCTTAGAGAGCCACATTTGTAGCCTAGTGTGTGTGTGTTTTATCTCGTGCTCGTTAGGTTCACCTATGAGCTATTTCATGAGAGTAATGGAGGAGGATTTCATTCCATTTCACATGGGCAATTCGTCGTCCACCGTTTCGTCGGGTAATATAGAGAAAACGAAGCGTGATCTGAAAAGCTAGAAAGCACTGTACAGTTATTTCTACCTGGTTGAGTCTCATCAGCACAGTGCGAATCAGTCGAACCAACTGGAGATTTTGAACCCAGGGACCTCATAGGCGGCACATAAGCATGCTACTCACTAGGCCACCGGGCAGCTGATGAGACCATTTTTTATTTTCCATTTGCACGATACAGCAGAACCCATCATCAAGAGCTTGTTGCGAACATTGTTTATCTTAGCACTAGCCTTCAAGGTTACGACTCAGTTGGAAACTTTCACAACCTGACTACATGTTTCACTATACACGACGAAGCCAATTCTCTGTACCCTCATGGAAATCATAGTTGGTCTTAAATGAACTCTAACCAAAACACGTGAACAAGCTGACAATCAATTGTGTGGTTCTGTTTTTTATTCTTGTTCTGATACTGTGAAACTCTATGCAAAAACGTGTTCTCCTGGACTCCAGAAAATGGAGTCAACCTAATTCTAAGCGGATATCGGCATTTTGAAAAGAATTCTCCACCACCTGTTCCTGCTCTCTGATCAATTTGTGATATGAGTTATTGATCTCCTCGTCTGAAAACCACACTCCGCTCCCCATTAATTTTTAGTGGGAATGTTTGTATCTGACAGAAACAATACAGTTCACAAAAGATGTTTGGAGCACAGAATCTGGTACAAAATTGATAATTTTGAGTGGTTACGAAAGAATAAAGTTATGCATCGTGTATTTTAAATTAATCCATCATAAAATATAGGTATTCCGTACAGGAAGATACGTATGCAAAACTCAGATTGTGATACGGTACTAAAAGAAAACATCTGCTTTCTTCCGTTTTGGAAAGATGTGAAAGCTATTGAATCACGAATTTCGGTTGTGCCAATCTACACGCACACACATTGAGAACATGACAAGAATAAACTGTCCCAAACGAATATGACACTGCTCGCCCGGTTGTTGCCGACTGTCAACTCCGCTTATCCTGCAATCTTTTATCCGGCCATTGGCAGACTTATGTGCCGAATGTTTATTTTATTCACAAACTGCTAGATTTCAAACCAAGGTTATCTTTCTTCGGATATATTGATCACGAGAAATTGTAGTAAAATAATAGCTCTTTCTACAGTTAGAACTTTCTTCAGGAACAGATTTCATTTTATCTATTTTCTATCTATAGAAACTAATGTGATTTGAATGCCACGTCGTCTACTCAGTCCAATAGCCACTAAAACTTAAACAGACCTTCAACTTTCGGATCGATTTTACTCACAGTAAGGAATGTGGTCAAGCTTGTGCCTGTGCTACGAGATTCCGATGGACTTCGTGCTTCTCCGTCCTCGCGCCCACTGACTTCCGCCGACTGGGGATGAAATCCATCCGTTTGACTGATCACATCTGGTTGTGCTATCATCATCACTCCCGGTTGACTGCTAGTGTGACACCGTGAGTCTCGGATCACCGGGTCGGTGGACATCACCGTTCGTGTGGCACTCGAATAAGTCACTGTTGGTGTGCCAGGGAACGCGGTGGTATTCATGTCCAGCCGGATTGAGTCCATAACATCCTGATACCTCACGCTGGGAACGGAATTCGATTGGTCTGTTAGAAATTGTGCGACACTGACAGCAGTGGCCGCGGTAGTTGTCGTGATGTTGGTGGCTGTGGCCGAAAAATTGTCGGTAGGCTCCACCGAGACCAAGGTGTATTGAGCGGAACATTCGGACGGTTGCTTTCTTGGAGACTCTTCTGTCGGCTGGCTATAGATAGGTCCATTATTATCTTCAATATTGGAACATTCCACTGTAGCGTTTATGGTAAGCTTGCTCACTGCTGGTTCAGCCGGCTCATGTTGTGAATGAAGAAGCTCATCCAGTTGTGTATTTAATCGGGTCAAGGACGCAGCCACACTAGTTCGCGGAGAGCCTGTAGCCGATTTAGATCGACGTCCTGATTCGCCAGAAGAATCACGATGAACTGCTTTTCCAGTCCAGTCACCAGTCATTCGACGGTGGGTCTCTGTGATCCATCTACTCTCATCAATTTGAGATTCACTTGAGAGTTGCTGCTGTTGCTGTTGCTGTGGTTCTGTTTCATCCGTCCATTCACGTGATCGTTCTCCGGTACCTCTGGTTTCTCCACTTTGAGCACTTCCTGCACTTCCAGCCATTGTAGCGTATCCACTCGTTGTCATCACTCCCGGTCCATCACCGCCTGAGGTAATCTCGTCCACTTCACCTCGGCCCAGTGCACCAGCAGCCATACTTTGAGCTCGTTTCAGCGCTGGTTGACGACCTAGAGTAGTAGTCGATAGACTGGCACCCATGTTATTCAACAGGAAACCACGACGATCGGCCGAGGAGGAGCGTAATTGCATTGAGGCCGAATTCAATCTCCGGGACGGGTAGTTCGGACCGGTCAGAATATTGGGATTCGCTCTTCGAGCAGCCGAGGGTCTAAGAATATGGAACAGTTGGAAGAGAACGTAGAGTAGAAATACTGTTTTCTTTAAAGTTAACTTACACTTACAGTTTAGATATCCTTCATATATAGGTTTCAAATGGCGGTGAATTTTGTAGTTCTGTGCAACTATTCTAAAGACAATTTCACTTCCTCGATGAGCAGAAACTGGTTATTACTTTTGAACACGCAGTACAGCTTGTCGGGAGATTCGGTAATTCAATATTAAATTATTAGATTGTGCAATATTTTTCAGTCCTATGCTTCATAAGTGCGATACAAAACACAGCCTGAGTGTATACAACCGATCACGACTAAAATGGTGATTAGTGACAACACCGGAAAAAGATTCGTGTACTATTGTGTATAACATTTGCAAGCACTGGTGCCAACATTTCAGTTAAAAAATCATACACACCAACCGTCACAATGTATATAATAAACTACGAGAGCANACAGACATGGAGATGTTTCATAATCCAAGGTCAACAGAAATTACAGGTATTGTATGTATCGTGTGACTTTTTCAAACATTGAAGCTTATGTTTCAGTTAAAAAATAAACACATCAACCATCACACAAAACATACTCAACGAAGAGCAAATGTTAAATGACATGGAGACATTTTATAATCAAAGGTGAAGACAAAGTTCATTTGTTGCTCTTTCTTTTTTAGTGAGCTAACATGCAAGATGAGGTATAGATGAATTTTGGTAGGCGTTTATTCGAGATGAAACTTGACGGGATTAGGAGCGTGTTGAATGATGGGAACGGCAAGATGTCGAGTCTGCGTGCAATGGGTGGTCAGGATCTGTGGGAATCCTCTCAGCAAATTCCACACAGCAAGTTACGTAATACTCTGAAAGCTTTAAAGCAAACTCATTCTCAGGAATAGAAGAGTCACGGCTAATAATAGTTAGACCGCGGCGTAAGACATTGAAATCCTGTTTGAGTAAGCCAGGATAAATAACTGGAGAACAGTAGAGTAGGATGGGGAAACCACACTAATAAACAAAGGTAGTATTAACTGTCTGGGGTGAGCGCAACTGCGTGAGCTTTCGTATTTGAAATGATAGGCGCCGCAGTTTAACAATGCAGTTGTGGATACGGGTTGACCAATGAAGATTGCTACTCACAGTTACACCAAGATATTTGACAGAGTTCACCCTGGATAAAGGATTGTTATTAATCACTGTGGGGTCTGTCGGATATGGGGAGCGAGCAAAACTATATGAACACTCAACACATTTACTGGGGTTTAGGGTCAGTCTCGATTAGGAGGAGAATGACTGAATTTGAACAAGATTGTGGGTGAAGGAGTACAGATCGGAGTAAGAAGAAATGGACTGACACAGCACGACGTCATCTGCATATTTCAAAATTCGTTCCGTAGAAGCACAGGGGATAGCACAAATATAGGTAGAAAATAAGTATGGGGATATTACAGCTCCTCGAAGAACCCCAGAGTTGTTGACTAAGGCTTTAAATGAAGACTTCGCCAATCTAGTGGTTTGTACTTTATCAGTAAAATAGTTGGATAGCCAAGCTAACAATCGCTCGGGACATTCAAACGATTGCAGATTTTGTAACAACTTAGATCGAGGAATGGAATCAAATGTTGAAGAGCAGTCCAGAAGTAAACACACAGAGAAACCAGAATTTTTCAGTGCCAGCTCAACGGGAACTGTTTATTAACGTAGCGAAAATGGCACGTCTTCCGTTTGCGCACTAATACTTGAAGTTGACTTAGATTCCGATCGATTAATATTTGGTTCAAACACACCCCGGTTACAGTTGGTATCGCGCTACAGTTTGTGAACACCACACACACACACATTCTTTGAGCAGATAGACTGCACCAAGTATGAGCACGTTTCTTCTGAACCTTTTTAGATAAATAACCCTCCATCACTATTATAAAATCCTATGAATTCCATAAGTCAGTGCAATCAAAATCTCCAGTTATCTATGACGCTTACTTTGTCTCCCCTCGTCGGGGTACCCGCTGTAGTAGTAGCAAGACCAAAACAAACAAATGTGCGAAATGGTCGCGTTTCTCACAGAATAAAAGCACAATCAAAGCAGTGTAGTTGTTCAGCTTACACAAACACTCCTATACATATATCTATGTATGTGAAATAGGAGAGTATGGTTTGTAGTCAACTTAATCACCTGTTGTATCTGACTGGTAATTATACACGGTCAGAAAATGGAATACAGTTTGTGGAATCGAGTGATACAGCTTATATCAAAACAGCAGCANAGCAGCAATCAACAGTTTAAGATTCCCTGCTATTTTCGTCCCCCGATTAACCTCCGATAGAGTCTGCTTTGCTACCATGAAAACAACCTCGACAAATTTGTTTTTGATACGTCGTACGATCAGTGAGGCGATGAACGAACGATTCCATAGCCTTGAATCGGACGATGTGTCATGAATTAATTACCTCGCTGAGCAAAGGGAGGGAAGGAAGCATTCTCAGATCAATGTGTCGAATACATTCACATGAGTCAAGATAATTCAGATCGTTACAACGATATATAAACCAATGGAAATGAACAACCCCTAAAACAGAAAATGGATATAAACTACTGCAAGCTGATCAATACGTAAATGGGACTAATCTGAATTAGAGTTCAAGCTTCTTTATAATCATCTCTCACAGACCTGTCCACTTTCCACCCGATCGATTGATTTATTGTTTTCTGGGGAAATTTTGCGCAAAGCGAATCAGATCACGTGTGGACCAGACGTGTAACAATTACTATATTTTTCCCCGTACGCCAAAAATTTACCCGATTGTCAAGTCTAATTTAAAAATAGAAAGTGAAATGAATCGAATGCCAACTGCAATCAATGAGCCGATTGATTTGGGCGAGTGACGGCCAGGGTCAAGAGAAGGGGGGCGGTGGGAGGATGGATGGATGGACGCGAGAAAGACAAATACGGTCTGGTATTCAAGTGCATGAATTCCGAACTGGAATAATTTGCACAGATTAGACCAAACCATGTGATTCGATGACCGTCAGATAAGAGGAAATCTCTCAGACAACCACGTGGTTTTCGTCTGTTCGGCTCATGGTGATAGACCTTTGGCATAGGCGGCGCACTTTTAAGGATCATAAAAGACTGTGATCAAGATTGATTTTCTATACAAAATGTATCCGCTTACACGTACGTGAAAATACACTATACGTTATGGCAATTCGATTATATTTGCAATCGTAATGATACACAGTAGTACGGCTAACAGCAATCTGGAATCACAGTTAGAAGACCTTTTTATTGTTGTTTGAGGTCATTTGCCAGCTAATGAATTTAATCATGCAACTATGAAGCTGCCTAAAACAGGGTGACGTTTTTAGAAGACTAGTGATTCGGTGTGGCTCAGGAAGGTCAGGTAAAACAAATGTAACGCTCACATTTACTCGGTTGGTGCTAATGCCGGGCAGGATGGTTTGTGNTGGTTTGTGTGATAACTACGATTTTTGGAGCTATGCTACAGAGCGAATATGGCAGTTCAACTGGTTCGTATCTTGGTGAGTCACTAGGGCAAATCTGAAGTCTGTCTGTATTGATTGTAGACAACCAAACAAATACTTTGAAATGAAGAAATCAGATTCATTCCACAGATGAGAACCAACCGCTTCACAACTAATTGTTTCATGCTCAGTCTCTATTCTTCGGGTTTCAGTAGAATGTGGTATTTTAGTAATTCCAAATTTTAAACCATTCCTATCATTTCATTCTTGGAACACAATGCTAGCAAATAGAAAACAACAACAACAACAACAACTCATTTTCGGTGCCACATGAAATGGCTAAATACATCACAATACAGGAGGATACCGGGTAATTCAATAAAACCGAAAACCAATGTCTGAATAGGAATTTCATCTTAGATTCATTCGCCCTTTCACCCGAAACAACTGTTTAAAATGCAAACCGTCAGCCCGGAGTCGTTCGTGCATCTGGTGCAGCAAACTGATCGCTCGATTTTGAAATTTAACTGTTCGCGAAAAATCAATGCTGTCTGTCATTGCAAAATGTACGATGAAACGACCGGTTTGTCGTGGAGTCAGATTTGGGTTTTAAGAAGAGTCTGAATTTTTTTAATCGTCTATCTTACAGTGCTCGTTCAGATCGTCTTGGGCTGCACCCGGTGAATAGAAATGGTCATTTGACGTGTTATTGTCCTACAGTCAGATTAGGTGCTTTGGAAACTCTCTTAGCATTGTTATACCCCTCTACAACGCTTATCACAAACTACAACGGTGCTGCATTGTTTTCCAATGAATGGTTTTGTTGGGTCACAGTCGTGACCATGGTTTCCACTCCAGTAATTTATTTTTTTTTATTATTAAAAGAACGTCAATTTCAGCTCTATTCAGTCATTTCTATGTCTGCATATGAATGTTTGTAGAGAAGAATAAGGAGAAAAACAACTTAACTGTAACCAAAGGGGTTGATGTGAAAACAACTCATGGAATATGCGTTTCCTGATCCATGACTGACGCCCATTTGACAGAGGAGCTAAACAGCAGGAACTCTCAAAAGAAGAATAATGTAGTCGAAAAATAGTCTACCGAAAAAAATAATGGAAAGACGCGACAAACTAAAAATATTATGAAATATATTTAACGACATGGAGAGACAAACAAGAGTGGACTTGGAAACAACGGTTGGATAAAGCAATCCGGGTGGAAACTCACCTCTGGAAAACCGTACGATATTCTCCATGACGCTTTACGTATTCAGCAAGTTCCTGTTGTGTTCGACCTGTGTACCTATAATTCACAAAAATGATAAACATTGAAATTGCATTTCCTCTCGTATACACAGCCATATATCATCAGAAAATGATCGAACCCTAAAGGAGCGGCAAGCGAATTGAAATAAAGCAAACCACTTATATTTTGACTACTATCAATAAAATGAGTAGTGAAAATAAACATGAAAAAGCAACTGTCAGTGGCCCCCGGCCCAACAATTCTTTTTTGATAAATCTGTCTACCTCAACAACTGTGAATCAAACTAATCTTGGACTTTAGTCAAAAAAATTCAAGACGAAACAAAGTTTCACAGATTTGCAGGGTAAAATCTGTTACGTAATCCATCCACATTGCACCTCGAGGTTCTATAAAACCTTCCTGATAGCGGAATTTTATGGTAAATTTCNACCCCCCCCCCCCGGAGGTTAGTGCTGAGATGAGCGAGACACGATGCCCGCAACCAGCTCGCAAAGCTGGACTGTGCAATATCGTATAAATTGGAATGAAGAATGATTTGACCAGCTGCCCGGTCGCTGAGTGGGTAACACGCTTGTGTTGCGTCAGTAAAGTCCCGGGTTCGATCCCATTGTTACTTCGATGGATTCGCGCTGCTAATAAGACACAACCAGGTCGGAACAGGTGTAGGGTGCTTGCTAGCTTTTCATTTCACGCTTCATTTCCTTTCCAAAAGACGAATTAACCCTATGAAATGTGTTTCTATGAATAGGTTTTAGGGATACCAATTAGCAACTGCGAATTCTCGACTCATATATTGGCCCGCTAGGTTGAAATCAATCGTATTTTTACTTCAGATACCATTACAATACAACATATATGACTAGCTACCGATAGTGATTTACGAAGGAAAGAGTAAAGTAATTAAAGTATTCAATAATTTGTATGATATTGGTCCGCAATTATTATTTGCACAGATGTTTCATGACGGGTCACCCGTCCGCAATATGTCCGTGAGGTGGGGCCGAAGTGCTCGCACAATTTGTTTTTGAGCACACAAAGGGGTTTGTGAAGACGAATGCTTACTTCCTTAGTTGTCGTTAGAATTCTAAATCACACATGTCCAGACTATGTCGTTATGTGCAAGTGTCGGAACGCTTCGGTCAAGTTTACGATGTGATTTGTGTGAACAAGGTGTAATACGGTCGCACTTGTCATTGACGTACTTACTCCACTTCCCAAATCAGATGCTTCAATAATATACTAGCCTTATATGATGTGATACATTCATTGGTGATTGTGGTGAAACCCTGAAATCTACCAACATATGGCCTTGGAGGTCGAGTGTTCAAACACAAACCGATATCTCAAATGTCACCAACTTGTTTCATCATGCTAGAAACCTGTAATTAATCATTTTCTCTTCCTCTGGATAGCTGCTTCTATTATCATGTATAAATAAGAGGAAGTAAGCGAATAAATGATTTATAAAATCCATAGATCAATATTTAGAAATTATCTGAACAGTTCGATTGAACATGTAACGAGAATAGAAACCGGTAAACAAGATCGTTTTAGCTGTTTTATAACCATAGGAATGAGATACAATACATTTTACTAACGACAACGAAAAGAAAACGGGCAGTAGTTGTTCCTCATTTTTGATGTGGGTTTCTTCATGAGATAATTATTCAGTTTTGGAAGACCGGAGGATCGACCGAATTCGTTTAGGAGAGTCTTAGCTATTTCCCGTCTAGCAAACAAGGTATTTTGGAGATAGATGATGTTTACCTCCTGTGAGGCTAGAATACGAAATCGGAACCGCCTAGGTGGTACAATTTTGTAATATTCTGTAATTGTGTCAAAATACGTTTACTTCATCCGATTAATGTCAACAAGTTACTAAACCACCATAGAATATAGTGCCCACAGATGTGTTCGGAAAGAAAGCCTGTTGGTGCGATTCACAGAATCAGGTGAAGTAATCCACACAGACAGGCTGTCGAAGCAGATAATTTAACCGTTAGCAATATATGCGGAACTGGGCTGAATGTGAAGAGCACTAAGAGCTTGCTTCCAAGGAGCGTTTCATCTATCTCTGAACACAATTTCTGTCGAAGTTTCACATTTGAATAGCATCGGGATGTACAGAAAACAAAACACACATGTAAATCAGCAGATCAGTTTTATGGACTTTTGTTTTCATCATAAATAATCGAATCGTAACATTTGAAATAAAACACGAAATAGCGAACAAGCTTGTTTTCGATAACTTACTCATTTGGCTAATACAGTTATATAAATAGGTAATAGGCATATCACACTCGCATAACTAGGCTAAAGGAACACAAACCAGCCTGGGTGACTACTGGGAGAGGGGGGGGGGGGGGCAGAAAAACCATCTCAAATGCCATTGTGGGACATCTCGCAAATATGGGACATACTGTGAATGAATTCACCTTCAAGGTGAGCTATCGGGTGCTTCCTTATCCGTCTAAGTCAAAAAACATTTAGCAACAGCTGAGACAGTAGGCATCCGGCTGTTTAACTCATCGTTTTGTTTCCAAAAGCGATTTGTCAAAGCACTTTAGCTGACATGGCCACAGAGCGAATTGAGTAGCATGACTGGGGCTCTTTCCACGACCCCTGGACTCTCTCGACTGACCCCGTGCCGCAAACAGGTGATGGTTAACCTTGACTTAATCCTAACCCTCATGTGACACACCCTCATTACCATCCAACTACAAACGATTTTTGTTTGCAAACCACACACAAACAACTAATTATATCTAACAATCCGTTCCACACACACGTCAAACTTTTTGCAATTGAGATGCCTATTACCTATTAATATAGCCAGATGAGGAAGTTATCGAAAACGATCTTGTCCGCTATTTCGTGCTTTTACTCAATTCCAAACAAATCATATGAGTAAATAAATCTAGGGGAGGAACAAAGTTCAATACATAATGACCGGGCAAAATAGAAATGCAGTTAAGCTTGAACAGTTGAACTAGGTTTACTAACAAAATTGTTTCATCGATGAAGAATTCCAGTGTATACAAGTGTGTTGAAAACCATTGATTGTACCTTTGAGTACTGATCGTAATATATCTCATTCGAAGTAACCAAAACTAGTATCTACATGATCTCCCAGAGTTCCAAAACATGGTACCAGCATAGTGCACACTGCTGATGAGTCCGAACAGGAATGAAACATTTGCCAAAAGCTTTGTGTCGGCCACTATACTCAGCTTTAACACAAATAATATATAGCACTGACGGGTTATAGCGCGCAAGGTAAGAAATGAAAAAAAACTGACGACAACAACAAAAACAACAACGACAAAAATAGCTTCCGATCGGTCACCTGAAAGAAGATCCGGACGAAGTGACTGAACCACGTTTTTGAGGGTCACGCTGTAGTACGGGACATCGGAAGAATGTGTGATGTTCGATACAGTTCTTCCAAAACAATTTGCACTCATCCCGTGAGTCGAAAATGAACTCAATGCTGTCCTGTATAAAAGATTAGAGAGGGAAAACAAACAGGTAATCGGTTATTTTAGCCGCATGGACAAATAAAAAGTCCTCGAGTCTTACCAATTTTCCGTAAACGGTACAGTGATCTGAAAAATGGGAAAACACTGACCACTCGGGGCAGTTGCTGACTGATTCAGAGCAAACTGCGCAAGAGTAAAAAGGTTTGTCGCACTTGGCAACAAATTCTGCCGGCTCTATCAGAGATGAATTGGCAACAGAAGTAAAATCAAACAAAAGTAAAATGTGTCATTGTGATCAACGGGAACTGGGTTAACTCTCTGCTGACTGCCATGGCCAACTCAGAATGCGGGTGTTAAATATGCAGATACAATCAGATATGCGAGTAGATAAGCAAGAAAACTTATGGCATGACCATAGATGTGACGCAGAAAAGATCCATAGTCCATAAAGAGTGCATGGAATCAGAAGATTCAACAGAAGCAAGTGCAAATCAGTGTTTGATCAGTACACTACATTATGCAGAAACTTTGAACATTTGATATTTACACTACTGAGAAGGTTTAAGTAGCATACTTTGCAATTGAGAATTATTTTCGTTGGATTGATGGAAGCTACCTCAGGAAGATGACCGATGATCCCACAACAAAAATGCGTGATCGTCGTAGCATGCATGAATCGTGAACACATGTTCCGAAGCGAAAAGCTGTTAATACTGTTGCATCTACTAGCCNAAACCATACGAATAACTGGTACTTTTGGAGGCAGTTTCTCGATCGATTCGTGGACATATTAATCTGAAACTAACAGCGAGTACCATGGTACAGTGGGGTGCATCGCGTTTCGAAGGGCCAGGTCGCAATATATTTATGATCGATTTGTGATGTCATGCGAGCTAGATAACGTTGATCAACCTATTTTTCTCACATACATTGGGCATAAACAAGTGGTTGACGATCGCCTATGATTTAAAAGACTAAATTTAAACATGCCACCTGCTTATACATTCCGTACGGGGTTTCGGTTGCAGGAATGAGAAGAAGAAATGAACAGATGGGAGAGAAGTCTTTACAAATAGGTGCCAAAGACTTTAGAGCACGACATACTTCGCGGTAGCCCATATCGACGAAGTGGT